TTTCTTTTGACAAGTATTAGGTTATTCTATTTTTTCCCTATGAGATAAATTTTGATTTGCTTGTAACAAAAAGTGATAATTGAATTTAATTAATCTATCCATCTGGAGAAATTATAAAATCATGGTGTTTATTATGCAATTTTAACTTATTCTACTTATTATGTTTTTGTTTTAGTGGGACCTTTGCATATCCAATTTATTAGTTAAAACTGGCATCGGTCTCAGTGTTGGAATTGTTGTATCAGCGCTTATATTTAAAAGTATGTTATTTAAAACATAATATTTAATTATATTTAATTATATTTAATAATAATACTATTAATTATTAATTATAACTAAATACTAATACTAATAATAATTATATTAATTATAATAATAATAATAATAATAATTCGATAAATTTTCACAAAAACAAAGAAAAATCTTGGCCTATTGCAATGTCTACTGGTTTTGGAATTGGAGTCTCTTATGCTGAATGTCAAAGGACATTTAATCCCACTGCTATACCTGGTGTTAAAATTATTAAAAAACCACCAACTTCATCTGTATAAAAAAAAAAATCATTATTTAGGTTACACTTAATTACCATTAAAAAATTTCATTAATTTATATTTTAGATTATTTTTATAAAATAAACTTTATGTACAATGTACAACTAATTAACCAATCAATAAATAAATGGTTATTTATACAATTAAAGATAATGATTGTAATAATTCAATCCTTGAAATATTTTCAGAGATGAGAAAGAGAAAATAAGGCAAGGCAGATCAATTTTCTATATAATTCTCATTGAGTGTACATGTAAGAAGCTTTTATAATAAATTTGGAGTATGGAATATTAAAGTTATATGTTGTGTAAACTTTATCTAAAAAAAATATTAACTATATCTTTTCCTTCTAGTTTATAAACAAAAATAATACTTTAGATAATGTTTAAAAATACAATTCTAGATTAATAGGTTGTAAAAAAAATATAGAAATTATTTCTTATTTCGTATTCTCACATGATTTATTATAAAAATAATGGACAAGAAGAAAAAGATCAACCTCCTCATTCTACTTATTCTAAAGTTATATAGTCTATTTTATTAATAGCTCACAGATCATTTAATCCACTACGAACTGCTCCCTTAACCCCTTGAACAAACTTCTGTTGCGTTCTTCTAATCTCTTCATTGCCCTTTTCTATATCAATACTAACATATATCCAGTATAAAGCAATAACAATAGTTATATACAACCCGAACTTAATCATACCAACTACTGTGCCATAAACCCATCGAAGTATCATTTTACATATTGAAAATAGAACGTAGGATACAGCGAATAAAACGATGATAAGGGTATAATCGTTTAAAGTGTTTAAAGTTGCTATTTGTGAATTAAACAACTGTGTAAGTTGAATAAGGTGAGTATTTAAATTGGGTAAATATTCATTGGTCTGTGTCCACAAATTTTGGATCGCTTCGAGAATTGGTAAAGCTACGTTGGACATTTTTGACAAAACGTTTAAGTGGTTTTTTTTTTATTTTTTTATTTATTTATTTATTTTTGCTCCATTTATATTAATTTTATACATTATATAAATTTTGTTTTATCATG